GTATGGGATGCTGATTCACTTGATAAATGTTAAACCAGGGATCATTACCTAAAACTAGTCATTTTATAGTTTGTACTTTCACAAGAATGTGAAAGGTGGCCCTTTAAAGTTCATTCGGTTTCCTTTCCTGTTTACTTAAATGCTGAGTTCTAAGAATAACTGAAGGATTAGAAGGCTTTCTCCTCCCCAATTCTGTAGGCTCCCAACTTCCACCCACTCCTTTCTCACCATCACTTATAACAATAATGCCATAAATACTGACCCTGGGGCAGTTAAAGTGATCCTCAAATACTACACAGAATACAGGGATTATTATTATTATTATTGCTAGTAATACTGACGGATCTTGCCTCCACCAGCAATTACTGGCAAGAACTTGTCCAATGACACGGAGACCACTGTTTTCTCCATGTCCCCCAGACTCCACCAGGGAGAAGCGGGACTTCGCAGGTTAGGGAAGTCCTAACCTAATCAACTCTCTCAACTGAAAACAGGTGTAAAGTAGATGTCCAAGTTTGTAAATAAAAATGAGGTTGGTGGGTAAGTTGAAGTCTGGAATATTCTGAGGGCTTAGGAGGTTTGGGTGGTTTCCTGAAGGGATTAGAATCTGATCAACTCAGGTATACTGGGTTCTCAGAAGCCTACGAAAGGCAGGTAGAAAAGCTTGTCTTTCAACACATCACCTGGGGCAAATCTCACATCTACAGAAGACACCTGCCTGCAGGGTCTAGATCCTTCCCATCCAGCACCATCCCAGTCTAGTTCCATCATATCACGGGCTAGTTAACCATTAATTACACTGTGTCCTGGCTTACCAACAACCATCATATATTATGCTGTTTCAATGGGAAAATATATTCCTAATCTAAACAACTGACTTGCAGAAAACTTTGGAAAAGGTCTTATTCACAAGATAGGGACCACACAGAGTGGGAATCAGCCCCCTCTGGGGAGGATTTGGAGGAAAATCAAAGCAGTCAAACCTAAAGGAAATCAGTCCTGAACATTCATTGGAAGGACTGATGCTGAAGCTGGAATTCCAATACTTTGGCCACCTGATGCGAAGAACTGACTCTTTGGAAAAGACCCTAATGCTGGGAAAGATTGAAGACAGGAGGAGAAGGTGAAGACAGAGGATGAGATGGTTGCATGGCATCATGGACTCAATGGACATGAGTTTGAGTAAGCTCCACGAGCTGGTGATGGATAAGGAAGCCTGGCGTGATGGACAAGGAAGCCTGGCATGCTGCAGCCCATGGGGTCGCAAAAAGTCAGACATAACTGCGCGACTGAACTGAACTGAACTGGGGAGAATTTGTAAAGCATCGTGTCCTAAGTGTTGCAGGAAAAAGAAGCCAACCTCTTTGAAATGAGTAATGTAGGCTACCTGGCCAAAGTCGCAGACCCTAGGCTGATTAAGCAATGACAAATATAACTGCAAGAAAACAGGACGAGGCGAGATGAGGTATGGGACTGACCAGAGGCTGAGGGGCTGGGGTCAGACACAGCAAGCTGTGAGACCAGGCTCCGGGGAGCAACCCACTCATCGGTCATTTCTCCCCCAGCATCCCCGGGCCGGCTCGTAGACACCGTTCCCTGCCTCGGAGGGCCTTCCTGAACCACCCCCCGAGAAACAGCCCACCCTCAACCTGAAGCATTTAATCCCCTCACGGCACTCACCACTGTCTGAAACCGCCCACTGCTGCTGTACTGTCTGTCTCTCCCTGAAAGAACACGACCTCCACGAGGAGTTTCATTTCTATCTCGCTTGTGAGCGGGCGCCCGGGCCAGTGCGGTGTGTGGCATAGGGAGACACAGGGCACACACGTTTGCTGAACGGACAGGGCTGCACTGTGAGGATTCTGGGACGGGATAAAGGAATACATGCTCCATCCACCTACCCACGCATCTACCCACCTACCTACTCACTGACCTACTGATTATGGAACAGCATCGCTATATAGCAGCTCCTAAGGAACATTCTAGAAGAAGTGGAACAGAGGATGATACTGCTATGAGTCAGCAAGTGTTTACTGAACAACAGGAGAAACCAGGAGCATACGACATGGTCCTTTCAGGAGGCGGAACAAAAATCAGCTCAAGATTGAGAGCAGCTTGAAAGCTTACTTAAAGTCTGTAAATAAATGTCTTCAGTCAATGTTTGGAATTTATAGAGAACTCCTACAGTCATGCAATTAAAAGAGGGTTGCTCCTTGGAAAGAAAGCTATGACAAACCTAGACAGTGTATTAAAAAGCAGAGATATCACTTTGCCAGCAAAGTCCATCTAGTCAAAGCTATGGTTTTTCCAATAGTCATGTATGGATGTGAGAGTTGGACCATAAAGAAGGCTGAGCACCGAAGAACTGATGCTTTTGAACTGTGGTGCTGGAGAAGACTCTTGAGAGTCTCTTGGACTACAAGGAGATTGAACCAGTCCATCCTAAAGAAATCAACCCTGAATATTCACTGGAAGGACTGATGCTGAAGCTGAAGCTCCAATACTTTGAGCACCTGATGCAAAGAGCTGACTCATTGGAAAAGACCCTGAAGCTGGGAAAGACTGAAGGCAGGAGAAGAAGGGGGCAACAAAGGATGAGATGGTTGGATGGCATCACCGACTCAATGGACATGAGTTTGAGCAAACTCCGGGAGATGGTGAAGGACAGTCATTTTGTGAAAGAAGGTCTGTCTAGTCAAAGCTATGGTTTTTCCAGTAGTCATGTATGGATGTGAGAGTTGGACCATAAAGAAGGCTGAGCACCGAAGAACTGATGCTTTTGAACTGTGGTGCTGGAGAAGACTCTTGAGAGTCTCTTGGACTACAAGGAGATTGAACCAGTCCATCCTAAAGAAATCAACCCTGAATATTCACTGGAAGGACTGATGCTGAAGCTGAAGCTCCAATACTTTGAGCACCTGATGCAAAGAGCTGACTCATTGGAAAAGACCCTGAAGCTGGGAAAGACTGAAGGCAGGAGAAGAAGGGGGCAACAAAGGATGAGATGGTTGGATGGCATCACCGACTCAATGGACATGAGTTTGAGCAAACTCCGGGAGATGGTGAAGGACAGAGGAGCCTGGCGTGCTGCAGTCCATGGGGCCACAGAGAGTCGGACACGACCGAGCAACTGAACAGCAACAGCAACCTGGCGTCCGCCTGACACTAAGCGGACGCTGACGGCGCGGTCAGAGCAGAGGATGGCTCTGCATCTTCTCCCGCAAAGTCAACCAAAGGTTCAGGTCCGCCTTTCCTCACAGGGGAGCGGGCTGGGGGAGGTACCCAGACAGAGGCCCCCTCCCCACACGCAGCCCCACCATGCTGGCCCCTTGGCCTTTGCTGACAGGCAGGGAGGCTGCCGTGAGATGCTGGAAGCAACCAAGACCAAGGCGATTTCGCCTGCCTTCTCACCCATGCTGCCGTGACAGCTGTGGTCACAGCACACACATTTTGGGAACAAGACTGAAGAGCGAGACCCTTCGTGTCTCTGTGAGCACAGCGTCTCCATGCAATCTCATCTGTGCAGGGATTCAGAGGATGAGTCAGCTGCTTCTGCACTATTTGAGCATAGAGTTCTCTGACTCATACTTAAAAGCTGGGAAAGAGGGATATTTAAGATAGTGGATTTCAAACTATGGTTTAAAAGACAGACTACTTTTCTGAAAATGGAGTTATACACAAATCCTTAACAAGTTAAACAGATCTCTGGGGGACTCTTGGGCTGAGGCTACGGTGAGGAGCCGGGTTCTGCCCTCTCGGCCTTCCCCTCCCAGATACCTCTGAGGAGCACAGCTGTCTTAAGGGGAAAGGAAGTTAGTATTTAGATAAATCAATAGATGAATGGAGGAGGAGGGAGAAAGGCTTCCTTAATATGAGGAAAGGTGGAGTGGCCAAGTCACCACTTTGCACCCATCACAGTAAAGACTATTCCAGCAAGAATCGCCAGTGGAAACTCACCCTCAGAGGGAAAGTTTGGTAAGAAGCAGGACACTGACCTGATCTTCAAATGTCTCCCCCCTAGTTTGTTTAGATGGGAGAAAACACTGCTTATCAGGGCACCAACATCACTGGTCTGCAGACTACAAACATGTGAGTGTTATACGAGACAAAGAAAGGCTGAGGAAATGTTACAAATTAAAAGATAAAAGAGATGGCATCTAAATACATTATGTGATCCCTGACGGGATCATGTACTTGAGGGTAAAATATTAGAAAGGACATTATTGGGACAACCGACAACATCAGAAATGAAAATTATCAGTTTGATAGAAGTGATGTATCATTGTTATTTGGTACCTGCACTGTGGTTCTGTGAGAGGATGCCCTGTTCTTAGGAAACACGTACTGAAGTAATGGGCCTAAACGGGACGTGACACGTGCGCCCTACTCCCTAACAGTTCAGAAGAACATACATCATATGGTGTATTTACATGCAGAGGGGGAGCAGTGGTTCTCAAAGTGGGCTCCCTGGAGGAGCACCAGCATCACCAGGAACAGGAGAGAAACACAGACTTTGGGGACCCGCCCCAGACCTCCCAAATCGGCGGTCTTGTCTGTTCTGACAGGCCCTCCAAGGGGTTCTGCTGCCAACTTCTGAACATCACTGATACAGACAGAACAATAAAAGAAGTGTGGTGAGATGTTTCTGGGGAAAGGGCATATATGGTAGCTTCCTGGATGATTACTGAAACTTACCTGTACTCTGAAACTGTCTCAAAATAAAAACGAACAATAACAACAGAAGGGTTACCCTGTGTAGAGATGGGAAAAGGAGGAGACCCTGGGGAAGGAGGCAGGTCGCAGGGTCCCTGCAGAGACCCTGACGGAGCTGCCGGGACCGGAACCTCAGTTGCCAGTGAGGGGCGGGGGGCGGGCCTGCTAGGGTCTCCCAGCAGCGCATCTCCGTCCAGCAGGAAGTGCAGCAGGAAGCCCACTAACCTGAGTAGGAGAGGCCGGCGATCTCTGTAAACAGGTCTTCCTCGGAAAAGCTTTCCGGGAGCATGAGGAAGGCCGCGGTCACAGCGCTCTTCAGGTTTTGATCCAGGGCTGAGCGCAGAGCCACATCCTCATTCATCGCCACGATCTTCACCTGGAAGAGCAGGACGTTCAGAGGAAGACGTCCTGAAGCGGAGCATGGTCCAAGCTGGGTGTTACTACACGCGCTGGAGCTGTCCTACACCCTCAGCCCTGAAGATGCTGCAGCATTAGGCCAGGTGACATGAAATAGTTACTAATCTAATAAGCAATTCTGGAGTCTCCTGTTTTAAGCCCAAACCAGACAACTCAGGACATAGGAAGGAAAACAAAATAAACATTTTTCTTAAGTGAGGAAACTCCACATGAATTTTGAAAAAGTTAGTACAAAATGGAATAAATGACCTTTGAGAAATTGAGAACTTTATTTTTTAATTTCATTGTTCTTCACTTAAATTTTACAGTAGACAAAGGCATTTTACTTCTTTATTCAGAACTCATCTCTGTTCTTATCTAACCTGAGCAGGCCATGCTCTATTTTGAACTGATGTGAACCTAAGGAAAAAGAAAGGAAAACTAGCTAGTAGGAGCTACCATCTTTGACGTTCCCCTCCCATCAAGATACAAACTGCTCCAGTGTGTTTGACTGGTTGTAAAGACTGCACTGCAGTCAACAGGATGAGCCCAAGTCCTATCTCTCTTACTACCTCTGTGACGGGGTTAATAGCTGAACCGGGCTTCCGAGGCTGCTGGGAAGATGAAGTGAGACCCCGCGTCCGAACCCACAGCTGAAGGCAGCTTCCCCGTGTGTCCCTTGGTGCACAGTGCACATGTTTCTCTGAGCCAGGGCTTCTCCCCTTCAGTGAGATTGGAGTCTCTTGCAGGGCTTGTTAAAACACCCAGTATTAGGCCCATCCCCAGAGATTCTGGCTCAGCAGGCCCGGGTACATTTCGGCCAGGTTCCCAGGTAACGCTGATGCCGCTCCAGGGACGGTATGTGAGCACTGCTGCTCTAAGGCACGTGCTTGGAGCCCGAACGGCCACGTTGCTCTTTGTGCGATTGTGCCAGTCTGCACTCCCGACACGATTTTAGACCATCGTGCTGCTTCTGACTGATTTTCTAAACAAGCAGTGCGTCTAGAACTCCCTACTGAGGACACTCATGTATCTGAAACGTAGCCACTGTCTCTAAACCACTTAGTGCTGTAACCAAACTCCTCTCATGTTCCAGAAAGTAGGGTTTAAACTGCCTTTTATTTATCAAACAAGGATAATTTCTGGCAAAATTCAGATGACACATAAAAGACACATACAGTATGAGAAACTCCAAATTAAAACTGCATTAGATAGCAAGGAAAGACGGAGTGATGTACCTCCCAAAGTATAGTTTCTTTTTTTTTTTTAATTAATTGTGAATAACAATATTAGAAAACGTAACTATTTTATAAATCAGGCCTAAGAATCTGATTGAAGAAAGACTGAAGATAGGAAGAGAAGGGGAAGACAGAAGATGAGATGGTCGGGTGGCATTACCAAGTTGATGGACATGAGTCTGAGCAAGTTCCAAGAGCTGGTGATGGACAGGGAAGTCTGGTGTGTTGCAGTCCATGGGGTCGCAAGGAGTCAGACATGGCTGAGCAACCGAAGTGAACTGAAAAACCTGAATTCTACCTTTTACCTTTTATCCTTATTTTTTTAATGGAATATTTATAACATACAAAGCTTCATACGGTACATAAGCTACTTAATTCCATATTGCCTCCTCCCTCATAATTATTAGGACTTAATGGCCCTGAATTAAGCCTTGAAGCACTTGGCTGAGTGTGGAATTACCGCAAACATCTGCAGAAAGTCAAAGAAGGGAGCATCCCAGAAGCATGGTCTGGAGAGGAGAACCATCCCTAACAGAACACTCACTCACTGGTTTTTGGAGTCGACCAGCAATGTATAGGTTCTTCCAGTTGAGGAGATCTTCGATCAAAACGCTGGTGCTAATAACTCCGTATTTGATAAGCTGGAAAAGAAAAGAAATGTGCGTGAAAAAGAGCAAAATTCCATCCCGACCCCTGTGCAGGTGCAAATAGAAAGAACGAAATTTCCGACCAGGGCAGAAGCTGGATTTCCAAAGCCGCTCAAAAAACCACCAGCTTGTAAACACACACAGCTCCACGGAATCTTCTGCAAAGGGTTAGTTCCCAAGACTGTCTGTGGCCTGAGGCACTCATGGTGCGCTGACCACAGCTTTAACTCTGGCACTTGTGACGTCAGAGGCAGGATGGCTCTTATAGGCTGTGGTCCTGGTCCTCAATGGACTGGAAATATCAATAAAAACACTGGTCCTGACAGACCCGTGGTACAGTTCATTCTCCTCACGTGAGAAATAAGAAACCTGACGCTCAGAGAGAATAAGCGATGTGCCGAGGTGGCACCCGGAGGAGCAGAGCTCAGCCAGGTCCCTGAATTTCAGGCTGGGCTTCCAGTGTTTGTTTCATCACAGAGAATGAGAGATTTTCCTCAAAGTTTTCACTGACATCCTTGACACGGTGAATTTCTCTTTCACGGTTCACTATCTGAAACACTTCTGTAATTACAATGCAACATGCAAACATAAAACCTCTTTATCAGCCCTAAACACATGGAATGATGGTCAAGCTCATTTCAGTAACAATTTGCACAAAACCCTGAATGCAGTTGTTCTAGGTTACAAAATCCCATTTGCTTCAACAGATATCTTCAGATTCACTTCACTGAACAGTATCCAAGCAGTCTTCTCAGGCTGCAAATATCTAAAAAGTAGCTAAAGAATTCCAATTAAAAAGTACAGGCCCTTTGGCACACAATTATGCCCAAACACTTGGTCACTGGAGCCTGCAATGCTGTTTGAAACTACTAATTAGAGGTCGGCTCAGCATAACATTAACCCTGGAGAAAGCACAGAGCTCCGAGCTCCATGACCGGGGTGGATGTGCGGGGCTGGGCTAGTGACCGCCTTCCCCCCACTCCGGCCACCGCACTGCAGAGCCCTTCTTGCTACAGGCGCCTAACAGCCAGGAGGCAGGATGGACGGCAGCCAGAGAAGCAAACGCCGGGCCCAAAGGCGATGCGGACATCACCCACAGCACTCATCCCTGCCTCGCTCAGATAGGCCGGAAAAATCCTTCTCAAGTCGGTACTCCAGCCTCCTGCCTTTCAAAGTGCGGTCCACCGCCCAGCAGCAGCAGCATCAGCGTCCCAGACCAAGTGAATCAGAACCTGCGTGCCAACAAGATCCTCAGGTGACGCGTCTGCCCGCGGAAGGGTGACAGCCCTGAGCCGGCGGGAGCCCGGCGCAGCGCAGGCGCGGCCGACACCCTCCGCCCGGCCGACTCCAGGAGGCCCCTGACTCAGCTCCACTGGTCCTCTCGCTGTGGGGTCACGCTGGGCTCCTGGCTGTCCTCTTAGAGCCTGGGCCCCTCATTGGAATGACCACTGGGCAGGGCCCCGCAGTCAGACAGCCCTCCGCCGGGATCCGGGGTGCTCACCTGCCCTCCAACGCCCGTCATCAAATTCCACCCAACCGAGGGTACCGAGGGGTTCCCCCCACCGGGCACCACATGCTCCCAACTGCCTACGATCCCCTCTTCACTTCCAACTTCTCCCTGGGCGTGTGCGCCTCTCCGTACAGACAAGATTAACTTCCACCCTGATCCAAAATGGTCTGCCCGTTCCTCCCACTGACCAAACCAGTGGTTCTCAAGGTGTGTTCCAGACGGGCAGCATCCGCATTGTTTGAAAGCTCGTTAGAAATGCAAATCCAGGGGGCAGGAGAAGGTGGGACAAACGGAGAGAGAAGCCCTGAAATATACACCACCATGTGTACAAGAGACAAATAACGGGTCTATACAACACAGGGAGCTCACCTGATGCTCGGCGACAGCTTAGAGGGGTGGGATGGGGTAGGAGGTATGTTCAAGATGGAAGGGACATATGTATACCTCCGGCTAATTCATGTTGATGAATGGCAGAATCCAACACACTAGTGTAAATCAATTATCCTCCAATTAAAGTAAATAAATTTTTAAAAAAGAAATGCAAATCCTTGCTGCTGAGAGAGTAAACCTTAAAATTTCTCATCACCAGAAAAAGAAATTTAATTATGTATGGTGATGGATGTTAACTAGACTTACTGTGGTAATCAACCCACAGTAAGATCAATCGTTACGCTACACACCTAAAACTAGCAGTGTTACAGGACAATCACCTCTCAATGTGTAAAAAGTGCAAATCCTCAAACCCTATGCCAGACCTACTGATTCAGGAACTCTGGGGGTGGGATCCACCATCTGTGCGCCCGACAGGCACTCTGGGCGCTGTTGAGGCATGCTAAAACTCGAGACCAAGAAACATTTATTGTTGCTGCTCAGTCACTAAGCCATGTCTGACTCTTTGTGACCCCATGGACTGAGCACATCAGGCTTCCCTGTCCTTTACTAGCTCCCGAAATTTGACTCCGGAGTCAAACTCATGTCCATTGAGTCAGTAATGTGGTCTAACCATCTCATCCTCTGCCACCCCCATCTTTCCCAGCCAAAAAACACTTGGCCAAAGGCAACAAATAAAACACAGTCACATTCATCACGTTCATCCGGCAAAAGTGTGAACAGTTCCTGACTGTAAGAATGTACACATTTAGCTGGGATTCTAAGAAGAAAGATTAATACCCACCGAAGTTAAGACAGAGGCCCGAAGTCACTCACCCTCCCGTCACACATGGTCACTGGTGCCGTGGTCATTCTGGACAGCAGTGATAATCCTGGGTCTCAATACTTTTTTTTTTTTAAAGTCACTCAGTCATATCCGCCTCTTTGTGACACCATGGACTATACATTCCATGGAATTCACCAGGCCAGAATACTGGAGTGGGTAGCCTTTCGCTTGTCCAGGGTATCTTTTTTTTTTCAGGGGATCTTCTGAACCCAGGTCTCCCACACTGCAGGCGGATTCTTTACCAGCTGAGCCACAAGGGAAGCCCAAGAATACTGGAGAGGGCAGCCTATTCCTTCTCCAGGGGATCTTTCTGACCCAGGAATCGAACTGGGGTCTCCTGCACTGCAGGCAGATTCTTTAGCAGCCCAATACTTTAAGGAAAGGGTAATGGTTCCAATTTTTCCTTAGGTTCTTTCAATGCCACGCAACAGGGTCTCAATTGTGAACACGAAGTTCAACATGGCATTCTGGGAGGTGAATAAAAGAGGATTTTTAGTTTTAATTCCTAGAAAGATGGCGAGACAGAGTCGAAAGCTCTAAGACTCAATGCTTCTGTGATTAACAGCAGACTCGGGGTCAGAAACTTAAGCAAACCTCTGGAACCAAGTTGAGCTTCTTTTTTGTCAACTCACATAACAGTAATGCTGACTGAAGTAATCTTCCAGCCCTCTTTTAAATACTTTCTGTATCATACATACAGTAACTCTTTTCATTCTCAAACCAATCCTACAAGCTAGATACCGTTATTATCCCATCTCTACAGGAAAGGAAACCACGGCACAGAGTAAGCTCCGACAGACAGCGTCTGGTTCCAGATTCTGGGCGAGACCACTTTGCTACACTGTCTTCCACCTAAATCTAGTTAAATGTGTTCCACTTTTCTTCCAGATCAGATAACACCATGTGGACAAGCTCTATAAAGCATTATGCAAAGGGAAATCTTATTTTAACTTCACCCATTAGCCAACCTCTCCCTGATCGTCTATGAGGAGCTCTGATAGGTCCTGGGATAGAGGTAAAGAGTTCAAAGTCACCTGGGGAGAATAGACAGATTATTAATGAAAGGACTTGCTAGGCGAATTTCACTCAGAATGGGGTCACAGAGGAAGGAGGAATTTTCCTATAAGATGACACTTTTCAAGACTCTGGTAAGTCTGAGTTTTCCAGAATGCACAAGAGTTAAGCAGATTTGGTGAAGTGTTAGGAGAAGCCTGAGGAAGTGGGTCGGGGGAGTCTTGTTGGATGAAAATGCTCTTGAGGAGACTGGGCATGTTCTGGGTGCTGTGCCTAGGTTAGTAGGGCTGGGATGGGATGGGATGCAGGTATAGAGTGGTGGGAGATGGGACCAAAGAGAGACGCTGGCTGCCACGGTAAGAAATGTTCCTGCAGCAGAAAGGGAGGGCGGACTAAAGGACGCACCATCACACACGAGGCTGCCTGCCAGTAACCAGGGCACCGAGGCAGGGACTCATCTGGGACAGACTCAGGTGCTGGAATCTATTTGTGAACTTGCAGGGAATGAGAGTGAGGAAAAAGGGAACACCTTTTCTTGAAGGGAATTCCAGGTCTGCTGAAAGGAAAATCTTCACAGGAAAATGAAGAGGTGACTATAGAATCAGGATGCTCTGAGTTTCCTACAAACTAGTGGTTATAGTTAAGAATTTGAGTGGACACGTTTTTAAAACTTTTCATGTTAACGTATATTGGAAAAAAATAACCTATTATAGTCTATAATTTACTGTGTGCCCCAAATGTATCATTTCCCATATGTTGTCAATTTAAAGAAAAGTACTACTTAAATTAGGGGGCTTCCCAGGTGGCTCAGTGGTAAAGAATCCGCCTGCCAATGCAGGAGATGCGGAAATGAGGGTTCAATCTCTAGGTCAAGAAGATCCCCTGGAGGAAGAAATAGCAACCCACTCCAATATTCCTGCCTGGAGAATTCCATAAACAGAGGAGCCAGGTGGGCTACAGTCCATGGGGTTGCAAAGAGCTGGAAAAGATTGAGCAACTGAGCATGATAAAATACAAATGAGCACGTTACTTAAATACTGGTATAGGTGGTAAACAGCAAATTCAAGGCATGGTATAGATGGCCTCACCAGGAAGTGAACAGGCAAAGATTAACTGAAAGATTACAGCCAGGTGTCCAAAGCCAGGAGGCCCTAGTGCAGGCAGCATGTGACCATTTCCTTTATTAAAAAAAACCCCAAAAAACCCAGTCCAGAACATGAGCTGCACATACAGAAAACATCTCTATCTAGATTCCTGCTCCTTTTACCTTAATTCAGCAAGAGCTCAAAAGCCTTGCCAAAGTCAATCAAAAGCCTCACTAAACATGAAATATTTGTCTGCCATCTTCGATGTCTTAAATTTTCACTCCATCTTGGAAGCAAACTTGTTTTCCCCCATTTGCAGGGGAAAAAAGAATCTGCAATCACAAGGAAAACTGTACCCTCACTGCTGTTATGCTCAGCCAACTTTAAAGAATAACAATGCCTTGCCCTAAACAGACTTGGTAAATGTTCTGGGTCAGAGCAAATATACTGCTCACCCACTAACTCTCCCTGTTCAATCAGTTCAGTCGCTCAGTCATGTCCAACTCTTTGTGACCCCATGGACTGCAGCACGCCAGTCTTCCCTGTCCATCACCAACTCCTGGAGTTTGCTCAAACTCATGTCTACTGAGTCGGTGATGCCATCCAACCATCTCATCCTCTGTTATCCCCTCCTTCTTCTGCCTTCAATCCTTCCCAGCATCAGGGTCTTTTCCAATGAGTCAGTTCTTCACATCAGATGGTCAAAGTATTGGAGCTTCAGCTTCAGCATCAGTCCTCCCAATGAATATTCAGGATTGATTTTCTTTAGGATTAACTGGTTTGATCTCCATGCAGTCCAAGGGACTCAAGAATCTTCTCCAATACCACAGCTCAAAAGCATCAATGCTTCAGCACTCAGCTTTCTTTATAGTCCAACTCTCACATCCATACGACTACTGGAGAAACCACAGCCTTGACTAGACAGACCTTTGTTGGCAAAGTAATCTCTGCTTTTTAATATGCTGTATAGGCTGGTCATAGCTTTTCTTCCAAGGAGCAAGTGTCTTTTAATTTCATGGCTGCAGTCATCATCTGCAGTGATTTCGGAACCCAAAAAAACAAAGACTGTCCCTCTTTTCATCGTTTCTCCATCAATTTGCCATGAAGTGATAGGACTGAATGCCATGATCTTCCTTTTCTGAATGCTGAGTTTTAAGCCAGCTTTTCACCCTCCTCTTTCACCTTCATCAAGAGGCTCTTTAGTTCCTCTTTGCCTTCTGCCATGAGGGTGGCATCATCTGCATATGTGAGGTAATTGATATCTCTCCCAGCAATCTTGATTTCAGCTTGTCCTTCATCCAGCCTGGCATTTCACATGATGTACTCTGCATATAAGTTAAATAAGCAGGGTGACAGTGTCCTAGACGTACTCCTTTCCCAATTTTGAATCAGTTCATTGTTCCACGTTTGGTTCCAACTGTTGCTTCTTGACTTGCATACAGGTTTCAGATTTAGTTAGTGCAAATGAAAAGTTGCTCAGTCATGTCAGACTCTCTGTGACCTGCCATGGACTGTAGCCTGTCCGGCTCCTCTGTCCATGGAACTCTCCAGGCCAGAATACTGGAGTGGGTACCTGTTCCCTTCTCCAAGGGATCCCAACCCAAAGATCGAACCCAGGCCTCTGGCATCGCAAGCTATTTCTTTACTGTCTGAGCACTGGGGAAGCCCAAGAATACTGGAGTGGGAAGCCTGTCTCTTCTCCAGGGGGATCTGCCCGACCCAGGAATCAAACCGGGGTCTCCTGCATTGCAGGCAGATTCTTTACCAGCTGAGCTACCAGGGAAGCCCTTGCTATTTGTTACAGTCACTGCAAATGCCCAAAGCCTACCATCCATCCATCAGCTTCCCAAAGTCAGGGAATCACTTTGTATTTTCTCCTATTGCCAGAGACGTAACTCTCAGCTTGGCTGCGAGACAGAATCACCTGGGAAGTTTTTTTTTTAATCCCTAAAGCTTGGGATCATCCCAGACCAATTAAATTTGAATCTCCACAACTGGAACCCAGATTATCAGTTTGTTGTGTTTTTTTTTTTTTTTTTTTTTTTAAGTTTTCCAGAAAACTCGAGAACACTGAAAGAGGACCTGGCAAGATTTTTTTTTTTTTTTCCGTTTTGTCCCGGCGCCAGCTCTTCCCTCCACATAATTGCATCTCCCGCTCTTAGACCCAAGCGGACTCCTACGTGTCCTGGAAGCGCAGCTCACGCTGCCGCTCTGCTAAGAGCCCTTTCACAGGGTTTGTTATCAGGTCTTCGCGAGTTGATACGGGGATGCGCAGAGCGGCCCGGCGGCTCCAGGGCTCGGGAGGGACCGAGGGCAAAGCGACCTCGAAAGCACGTTCCCGGCGCGGGGCTGGCCCGGGCTCACCTTCTGGTCTGAGCTGGGCCCCGCCTGGCGGTACACCCCCGAGCCGTAGGCGAAAGCCAGGCTCAGCTCCTCGGGGAAGTGAGACAGGATCTTGCGGAAGGCCACCCCCGAGCTCTGCAGCGCCTGCAGCGCCATGGGGCCGGGGCTCACCCAGGGCCCCCCGGAGGACGGCGGGCGGGGGACGCGAACCCGTCGGTGGGAGATGGAAGCCGGTTACCCGCCCGGACGGAAGAGGGCTGGGGCCGGGGGGCGAGGAGAGGGGGGCCCGCAAGGACTCGGGGCGGCTGGTCAGTCAGACACGAAGTCTGTCAGACATGAAGTCAGTCAGGCCGGAGGTACCCGGGACACAACCGAGTGGGAGACGTCCTGCCGCTCAGGCGGCCACGGGGGCCACGCCCCCCGCGCGCACACGTGCTCCGAAGGCGCAAGAGCAAGAGCAGGCGCCCTCCCGCGAGTGGGGACGCCAGGCCTCCGCAGAGCCCCCTGGTGGTCGGAGGAGCGCGCTGCAGGCTGGCCGCCTGGGATTAAGACTTGGACATGGGAGGGGGAGCGTGACTGCTGCTGAACTGCCTTTGAGCCGTAAAAGTCCTTGCTGGTTCTCGCCTCAAACCTCATTTTCCTAAATGACTGTGAGATCACGTGTGTAGTGTTGCAGGAGATCTTTTGGATGAGGTGAAATTCACATCACATAAAATTGTACACTTTACAATTTAGTGCATTTATTGCATTCACAATATTATGTAACCATTGTTTCTATTCAGCTCTGAAACTGCAGAAGATTTTGAAGGTTTAGGGGAACACAAGTAAGGTTAAAATCGCCCTAAATCCCACCACCCAGAGACTATCACTGTTAAGATTTGGCTGTGCTTTCTTCCCATTAAAATCCTCTCCAAATTCTATGATGGGCAGGAAAGTGCTTCATAAGTAGTAAAAAAAAAAAAAAAAATAAACCCACACCAAGGTTCTCTAATATTTGTAATTAATTTTAAAGGTGAGAAAGAGTCTTTTCCCCTTTGCCTTATGGATTAGGCTCACAAAGGGGCACATGAAATGCAGTTTCTGATGGAAATGGGATCCTAGGTAAGAGCTCACCTCTTCATGAATAATTAAAGAAACTTGTGGGGCTTCCCTGGTGGTTCAGTGGTTAAAGAATCTGCCTGCCAAGGCAAGAGACGCAGAAGATGTGGGTTTGAACCCTGGGTCAGGAAGATCCCCTGGAGAAGGAAATGGCAGCCCACTCCAGCATTCTTGCCTAGAAAATTCCACAGACAGAGAAGCCTGGCGGGCTACAGTCCATGGGCTCTCAAAGAGTTGAACACAACGGAGTGACCGAATAACACACACACACACACACACACACACACACACACACACACACAGAAACTTGCTCCGCATCACCGGGCCATTCAGGATGTAGTCTGAATTCCTAGACAGGGACTTTTCAGCTATGCTTCCCTTCTCCCCTGATGAGTCCGGCCTCTCAAAGATAACAGAAGTAGTAATAGCTAAATTTGGGTTTGGCTAAATGCCGTTGATGCGTTTCACATGCATTTTTCATTGCGTTCCTTCTACAGCCTTGTGGGAGGAGGTGATGCCTTCATTTCACAGATGAAGCAGCCAAGCGTTGGAGAAAGCAATGTGCTGGCTGGCCTTGCAGGGACTTGGGGCGGTGGGGGCGGGGGGGTGGAGGAGACGGAGGAGCAAACCCAGGCTGGACCGTGCAGGGGCAAGGCTGGTGCCCAGGGCCCCCCCGGACCGGAGGAGGAGCCCCGGTTAGTTCTGCCTGCGCCGCAGAGACCAGGGAGGCCGTCGGCGCTGGCCCGTGAGCCGGTCCGGAAGGATGGGAAGGAGTTCATCCTGAAGACGACGGAAGGGAGACTTGGTCCTTCCAAGAAAGGACCCGCAGGACAGTAATAATCAGTGACCTCATTTCTGGTCTATTCTCAGGCTCTCTCTGACTTTCTCTTCCTTACAAAGACCCCTGGGGCAGGTTCTCTTAGACCATCGTTGCTCACAAGAGGAGACAGACCATCTGAAAGGAGAAGTAAATTTCCCCAAGCCCCACGGTGAGGGCTTTCATTTTAAAATGAAAGCATACAAAATAAAAGCATGCAATAGATATTTTTTTTTTGTAATTTGCTTTTTTTCATTTAAAACATCAGTGACAACTTTTCATGTCAGAATATCTAGATCTATCTCATTCCGTTTATTAGCAAAATTTTCTAAAATATGGTTATGCCAGCAGTTTTTAAACATTCGTGATGATGGAAATAGATTATTTCTATATTTTTGTACGTGCAAGCTACACTACAGTGAACATTCTTGTCCACAGACCTTGGATATGTGTTAAGTCTTGCTAAAAAGTAGATTTTCAGAGGGGACCTTGCCAGGTCAAAGTGTCAGGACATTAACAAGTACCCTCCAAAAGCTGGACCAATTCACACTCCCACCAAACGGGCTTCAGCTCTGGATATAAATAAACGTTCTGCAATGTTTCTACATTTTTCTCCCTTGCGGGCTTTCACACATAATTATCAGTAATTTTCGTTTTCATAAACACTTTCCTTCCTGATAATGCAAAATCAGCAGCTGGAAAGTTCCATCACATTCCTGTGAGCATTTTGCCTCTCTCCAGAAAGAGGCAGAAGCAGTGGGCCCAGAACACCTTCGTTTTCTTCAGCAGAAATCTCTCTCCTCGTAGCAGCTCATCCACTTCTCTTTAAATTACCGAGGCTTGCTAAGTTAGAAGCTTTTAAAAAGCCCCAGTGTTCTATACAATCACTTTAGGGTTCTATTGGAACTCTTATACCAAGGAAATAAAAGCGTTAGCCATTTAAAAATACAGATAAATGCCACTTGATTTGACTGAATGTTGGGCCTCGTTTTTCTGATTCATCCAGCTGTTGGCTTTGTAGTCCTTAACGGTGACCTTGTCAGGCTAGGTTTCACCAGGAGGATGTTCGCCTGTTTCATTTTCTAAAAAGCCCTGTGAAATCTCTGTAACTTTTATGCCTTGGTTTTTCTTGTAATCAGTGTTTAAGTAAAGGACATAAAATGTTTGGGAAAAGAAAAACCGAGTTCTGTGATCCTTATAATTCTACTTTCAGCTGATCTACTGATGGAACTGGAGGAGAGGGGTCTTGATGACTGTGTCCTCAGAGGTGGTCACCCTGCCACATCCATCCCTTCTCAGCTGGCTGATGTGTCCTAAGTGGGCCAGACTAACGTCATCTTTAATGCATCTTGAGTCTCTGTTCAGGGGTGCTGAGGTACCATCTGGGGCCCCAGTAGTTAAGAGCTGTGTGAGCTTGAGCAAGGCAGCTGAAGCTCTCTCTGCCTTCTTTTCCTCATCTGGAGAATGGGCATATGGATGCGACCCACCTCATAGGATTGTTGGGATGGCCGATGAAACAGTGTCCAGGAAGTACAGAGAATGGTGTCTGCCTCTGAACAAGCACTCAGTAATGTTCTGCATTGTATTGAATTCTTAAGAGACGAAGTACAAGAGAAATTAAGAAGCATAATTATACCTAATATCTTTATGGCACTTAGCATTTCAAGCAAAGAACTTTTCCAGACATAGCTTTATTTAAGTCTTAAATCCTGGGAAATGAGTGGTTACTAGTCCAATTTTACAGATGGATAAACTGCTGTTGCAAAAAAAACGATTTGCTTGAAGTTGCAGGACTAATGCCAGTCCCTGTGAATACAGTGCCAAGTCTAATTCTTTTCCTCTTGTACCATAAAAGGAACACAAACCATTTATTTCCCCAAGGGATTCACTCATTCATTCTCCCATTGAAGTCTTCCTCTTCCTTTGCCTTCAGCTCAAATATCACCCCCTTCTGATCAGAAGTGATTGTTCTGTCCTCTGTGCTCTTATATAACCCTTTGCTCTTACGGCTTTAAGCTTGTAGCTCTCCAGCCCTGGTATTAAATTTCAAATGTGTCTATCAAAAAGAGTTACAAAAGCCTTGTGGACTCTGGTGTCTGGTCCCCTGTGGACGGGACCAGGATCTCCCAATCCAGGTGCACCCTCCTGAAGGTTCCATAAAACCTCCTGCATCCAAAGATCGGTGCACGCTCTGGGCTGGAAGAGCTTGAAAAAGTCACCTGGCGTGCAACTCTCACGTTGGTGGAATTTCCCGCTGCAGCCTCCTCTCACGGAGCCGTCGCCCCACCTGGGAACCACAGCGTCCTCAACGGAGCGGTCTGCCAGGGCTTGGCATGGGTCTTGAGGGTGAATGGTAAGGGAAGAGAATTTCTGAGACATAAACCTTGGAGTGTTCCTTCTAGCACGTTCCCCTGGAATCAGCAACCTAGGAGCACGACTTTCTTTAGGTCTCTGACTGGGGGACTGAGTAACCTGAGTGGGGCTTGAAGCTCTGCTGTTGCCCGGTGGACATTTCTTGTAACAACAACTTGGAAACTGGTGGTGAGAACTGGCGCTGAAGCTGAAGCTCCAGTACTTTGGCCCCCTGATGCAAAGAGCTGACTCAGTGGAAAAGACCCTGAGGCTGGGAAAAATTGTGGGCAAGAGGAGAAGGGGACAGCAGAGGATGAGATGGTGGGATGGCCTCACTGACTCAGTGGACATGAGTTTCAGCAAACTCAGGGAGATAGTGAAGGACTGGGAAGCTGGGGTGCTGCAGTCCACGGGGTCAAAAAGAGTGGACACGACTTAGCGACTGAACGACAAAAGTGAGAAGCCACGAAGGGACCCGAACCTGGTGAGGAGTGACCTCAAGGATTGAATGACTAAGCGTACACATATGCATACGTATATCCCCTCCCTTTTGAGCCTCCCTCCCACCCCTCCATCCCACCCGACTCCAATAATCTTAATGGCAGTTTTCATTTATTTAATAAACGCCAGATCCTGTGCTAGGCATTCGATATACAATATCTTATTTAACCTAAAGCATGCAATGTTTCTGTGTTTACAATGGTTAAATAACTTCCAGCAGACTCGCCACTAAGGACATATTTTTATGAGTTTCTTGTGATGAATTCATTCACATATTTTATGAGGGTGTGTGTGTGGGTGTGTGTGCGCCAAGTACTGACTGGACCTTGGGTCTATAACAGCTAAAAGAAGACACAAGGTCTCTGACTTCTTCAAATGTATCAATACTAGAGTTACCCTCTGTGTCAACTTGAAATAGGTTCTATCACAAACTGCATTTATAAACTGTGACTCTATTTCCTTACCTGTAGAACCCCTGGAGTAAGAGTATGGCCACACGATTAGCTATTCAGTAAAGGAATTCTGGGGTTGCCCTGGTGCCTCAGACAGGAAAGAATCCTTCTGCAAAGCAGGAGACTCGGATTCCATCTCTGAGCCACAAGCATCCCCGGAGAAGGGAATGGTAACCCACTCCAGTGTTCTTGCCTGGGGAATCCCATAGACAGAAGAGCCTGGCAGTCCATGGTGTCACAAAGAGTTGGACATGACAGAGTGATTATGCACATATACAGGATGCAGAAAAAAGAAAAACACTCGGTAATTTTCCAAAGGCAATTTCTCTTTAAACAATGAGGAAAGAGTTGGAGGAGAAAGGAAGATTTGAGTTGTTTTCTCTTTAAATCTCCTACGCCTTAGGAAGCACTGCAGAGAGCCTAACTTTTCATGTCAAAGACAAAAACCCACATAATCCCAGGTCATCAGTCACTCCTGATTAAACCTTCAGGAGACTCTTAGGAGTTAGGGTGGCAACTAAAAGAGCAATGAGTCTTGATTTTCAACAATAGAAGGACTAAACCCCATAAATAAGGTTTTGCTTGGAAGCTAGGTAAGACAGTGAATTGGTTAGAGGCGAGCCGAGCAGATGGGAGATGACACGGATAATGAAAGATGAGGACTCTTTCATTGGTCAGCAGACACGGAGAGCAAGATCTGTAGCCATCTCTCCATTCATCAGTTCAACAATTACCGTCCACGCACATGTGTTATACACAAGAGTGAACAGAAAGTGTCCTCTTCAAGGAGGTCTCAGGCGGAGCTTCCAGGCACAGCTGTGTAGGGTGTGCACTGCACAACTTCAGGGGCCGCTCTCGTGATCATCCTCGCCTCTTGTGCGTTGCTCGGTGTATAACCTGGGCAGCTACGCCACAGTCTAGAGAGGAAGGCAAGCAAAATAAACAGGCCATCATGGAACCATAGTTATGGCAAGTGGGGAGGGAGACTGTGGGAGCAGAGAGCAGGGGTCTGTAAGGCACTGGCCATGGAGGTGCATTTCACACAAGGCTTCCTGGAGAGAGTGAGGTTGAAACTGAGCCCTGGGACTTCCCTGGTGGTCCAGGGGCTGAGACCGCATGGTCCCAGTGTAGGGGGCCTGGGTTCGATCCCTGGTCAGGGATCCCTAGATCCCATAGGCTGCAACTAAAGATCCCACCTGCCACAACTGAGATCGGCCACAGCCAACTAAATAAATAAATAAAAATAAAAAATAAACTGAGTCTTGTGGGAAAATGGGAGTCAGCCAGAGAGAGATGTGGGAGAAAATGGTCCAAGCAGAGGGAAGAACATTTGAAGAGACCTGGAGGCAAGAAAAAGCTTGATACGTTCAGGGGTCTAGGAGTAGTTTATGTGGTTGGAATGAGGAAAGTTTTTGTGGGGGGTGCCGAGGGCAAGGAATATGGAAGATGAGTTTAGAGAGGTTGGCAGGGGCCGTATCCCAGGGGTTCCTGTTGGGCCAGCTAAGACGCATGGACTTTGTCCTGAGCCCAGTGAGGACCAATCGAATGAGGGGCGTGACATGGTCAGAGTTGCTCTTTAGAATAATCATTCTGGCTGCCGTGTGGAAGGTGGGTTGGAAGGGGACCAGACAGGACGCATGGAGTTTAGCAGGGGGCTGGGACATCATCCAAGATGAGAGAACCCAAGGTAAGGTCGTGGAAGAAGGGAGTGGGGATGAAATAAGACAGGAGGTAGCACTGTCAGAATCTGGTGATTGGTTAGAAAACAGCGAGGCTAGTGGTAGAGAGATGAGGAATGAAGTGTGACCCCAGGGTGCTGGCTTGGCCCTCGAGTAGGTAGTGGGGCCATTACTGAGCTGAACGGGGGGTGAGGACTGTGGGGACCCATGGGTGTTGATGAAGGTGGCATCCTCCCTGAAGCTTGGGAGGGTGATGGAGGCACCCTTAAACCCCACAGTCCTTGGAGGTGATCATTTAGGACCTGGTGAGGAAAGAGAGGAAAAGGAGAGCGAGACTAGAACCCCAAGAAGCCCTGAATCTAAGGGACACGCTGCAATCCATGGCGGGTGACTGAGGACAGTGACCCCGTTTCCTTCTTCCTGGGGTTCGTGGGCTTCCAAGTCTGGCTTTAGCTACACTACAGCGGGGCTGGGTGACCCATGAGCTCTGAAAATATTCATCACTGCGCCCAGCGACTAGCATAGAGCCTGGAAAATAGAAGGATTCATCTCATGTGGGCTGAAAAAAAAATGATTGAATGAATAAGAACCAAGACTTTCAAAGCAATATCCCCATATTTATATACAACAAATACATCCCAAATCCTGTTGTTCCCTGCAAAGCGATCTCCTTAATGAGTAACTACCTCCATGGAGGAAAAGGCTTTTAAATTATACCAACAAAGGGAGTTCCCTGGTGGCATAGTGGTTAGGATTCAGGGCTGGTACTGCCATGTGGCCAGGGTTAAATTCCTGGTCAAGAACTGAGCTCTTGTAAACTGCGTGGCATGGCCAAAGTATGAAGAAAAAAAAGTTATACCAGAAAGAAAGATAACACATAGAAAAAGATCTATACATTTGACTAAATGAAAGTAAAAAACATGACTTTTAAAATCATTCAAAATTGAAAAAAGTGACAAATTAGGGAGAATGACAAGACATATAAAGAGTTGGCTTCCTTACTATGTAAGCATTCTTACATTTTTTCTTTTTTCTCACAAAAAAAGAAAAAGCTAAATATTTCAGTATGAAAATCAGCCAAAGTTATAAATAGGCAACACACAAAAGAACAAATACAATAAACCCATTAAAAAATTCCATCTTATTAGTAATTCAAACATTCATCTTAAAATAACTAAAAAAAAAATCTTCACTAACCAACTTGGCAATGAATTTTGAAAGTTTTAAACATATACATACTCTTTGATCCAGAGGTTCTATGCCTAAAAATTTGTACTAAGGAAAAAATCAGAGATGTGTAAAAAATAGATATATAGGAGAATATTATTGCATCATAATTTTATTAGCAACAAAATTGGGAACAACAAAACAATAACAGGACATTACAAATAAATTTGTGCTTTTGTTTTCAATCTTTTCTATTTTCTACTTTCTGCAGTAAAGATAAATGGCCTTTGCAATTCAGAAAACAAATAAACGGGGCTTTTCTGAAAAAATTAAAAAGAAGTCACCTTGACTACAAATATTCCTTTGGAAGGCTGCCACTACTCAAAATCTGCCGAAGCCCCCTTGCTAGCAGTCTTAAGAGCTAATTTCTGAGATGCATAGGAAATTGATCATGTTACTCTGTAGTCATCATTTCATTTTGGATCCATAAAAAAAAGCCATGATTCAGTTTCACCGCCCACCTAATTTATCTGCCTCTATATCAAATGACTTCAGGGTCTTGTGAAAAAAATCAGTCTCCCAAAGTATGAAAATGTTCCCTTCTTGAAGAAATTGCAAAGGAATGTTGTTTAGACTTTGGGAATACATATATTTTGGAATATATATATATATATATGCTTATCACGGAGCTTGGCATATGGAGCTCAATAAATAGTAGCAGTTGTTATCCCCATTTTCTTATTTGGCTTTATTTATTTCCGCAGTTGTCTAGGAGGCCAGATTGCTGAGGCCAGATGGGTGAATTCTCCAGCCAATGCTTTTGATAAAATACTGACTCATTCCATCAGGGTTTTTTTTTGGGGGGGGGGGTGGTGGTGGACATTCTGTAGCCTCCCACCTTAAAATGTCAAGGTTCCAGGACCCAGAGAAGCAAATGAATAACGTCCAGTCAACTGCCGCAGCGACCTCCGTGGACTGTGCGAATGGGCGTCGTACTGACAGTTCCCTTTATGTAAGTTTTATGTGGTCTTTGAGATGAGGGGCTGGGTTTGGGGCTGAGCCTTGGCCTGCTCTCCACTGCCGCCTAGGGGCAGGGAGGGGACGTGCTGCCTCTCGGGCCCGGTGGTACCTTCTGGAGAAGAGGAAGGATTGCATAGTGCCACCTCTAGAGGGAGCGCAAGCTTGTCTTCCCCCGACACGAACGCGGGTCTGGATGAAGATGAGAAAGTAAATGCAATCAAAACCCAGCCCTCGGAGTGTGATAGACCTCCTTCGTATCCAGGCTCTGTCACTCACAGCTGCGTGACTTGCCCTCCCTCTCTGAGTTCCACCCTCTGTTACAATGGGGATATAATGATATTTCATAGGCGTGTTTTGAACTGAGACAGCAAAAATAACCACTTAAAATGAGGTCTGATGCATCGCAGGTGCTCCACAGATGGTGTCTCCAGATTCAAAGCATGTGATTAGTACATACTGCCAGCGGGGTGTAAAGAGATCATTGAAAGAACTGGTTGTGGGAGAAAACCTCTTAGATGTTTCTTTCCTTGAAATTTGAGGATTACACTTCTCTCTTCTTTCTAGTGAATCCAGTGCTCGGCTTCCGCCCCTGCAGGCAGGCTCTGGCCCCTTGGAATCGAAGACCTGTCCATGCAGGAGAGAGCAGGAAAGAGCGGGCGGAGTGGGTGAGTCAGGACAGCGGCTCCGCCCAGAGTCAGAGGATCCAGGATCAGAGTGTGGGGCTGGAAAAAGAGAACCAGGGAGACCACATAGTTTTCCTTCTGCACACCCGGCCTGATGTGGGACGTAGCTGGCAGTGCTGAGAAGGAGTCTGGGATTGCCTTCCAGAACCAGTGTTGGCTGTGCACAGAAACTTGAGGGCAGGTATCTGCCAAGTGCTGGTCAGCCATGGTTCCTGGACCAGGGCTGATCTGTAGGCTGTTTGAAACCGGTCTACTGACAAGGCAAGAACTGAAATTGAGAGTTAAGTGTTCAAGAAAAATTTATAGTAATTGGACAGAGTAGCTTTATTGAATCTCATTGAATCTATTTAGTTTGTTGAATCTAGTAATAAAATATTCAGGCTCTTATTTGCATGTTTCTCTTATTTTTTTCTAGTAATTCACTTTTATCGTATTTTATCAAGTTATCAGTCCGTGATCGATGCCAAGAGGGAAGAAAGGGAGTGGTCCTTCACCAGAGAGACTTTGAGAAGCATTTACTGTGAGCTCCAGGCAAAAGGAGTCGTCGTTTCTGCTCCTTAACTGACCAGCAAGCTTATTAGAACTGGAGGCAACAAAGTCACGAGGATCAGTTATGCTGACATTTCTGCAACTCTCCCTCAGGAACCGGTAGCCGTGAGGGGTGGTGGAGAGTTCAGGAGTTTGAGGTCCTGACTGCCTTTTGCCTCAGAGAATGGTCCAGAAACTGGATACTTCCGTTTGCTTTTTTTTTTTTTTTTGCCTCTTGTCCTCCCAAAGGTTGATTTGCTTTTGGTAAAACCGAGGCAGCTCCACAAATACGACATATGTTCTCACAAAAAGTTTCCAAGGTGGGATGGTTGACCCAGACACTCCAAATGACATTCCCGTGGAGACTCTGCGGAGGGTGTTTGCAGGCGTCCTGAGTGGCTGGCCCAGGGATGTGCCCTGAGCAAATGACATGATGCACGTGCGGAGGGCTGCCAGCTGGCTCCGTCCTAAGGGTACGTTTACCTCCTCTGTTCAACCTAACTGTAGATTTGGGCGATCCGATTTGTGCAGCAGCTGAGCACTATAGGGAATGACAATTCCCAGGAAATCACTTACATGGAAGTCATGAAACGAGAAGCTTATGGGAGGGGAAAGCAAAGAAAAGCCAAATGCTTAGCAGAAAATTGTGATCGTGTAGGCGTTGCACGGGAAGGGTGAGTGGGCAGATGACGGCCCTGCCTCTCACCTGGGAGAGCATCCCCCAGAAGCACCAGCATCTTGCCTGCAGCCTAGGCTTTGCGCGCTGGTCCCAGAGGCTCCATCCTCAGGGGGTGGGGACCAGCAGTGGTAGAGGCCACCTGTTGTCGTGGTCCAGAGCCTGGGAGGGAATCAGACAGACCTGGGTTCAAATCCCGATCACTGCTCGCTAACTGTGCCGTCGCGGGCAGGTTGCCTCACCTTCGAGATAAGCAGTTTCCGCATCTTTGACGCGGGATGGCATTGGGATCCTCTCAGGGTCCTCGGGATCTAAGCTGACAAAGCCCGAGGGACAGTCACCGAGGGCTCACTGCACGTTCTCCTCGGGTGGGGTCTGAAGAGCTGACCCGGGCCGAATGTGAGAGGCCGTGTGGGCCAGCTCTCCTGCATTTTCAGAGGGCGTCCCTGAGGCACGGAGAGGGGCATGGGATTGCCTGAGGTTAACATGCCAGGACTGGGTTCAGACCCAGATTTCCTGACTTCCCAGCTTGCTAAAACAAAACCAAACAAACAAACAAAAAACCCTCAGAACTGCTTTGTCATCCAAGTTCAAAAGTGCTCTAAAGCTGAAATGGTTTCCTACTTTTTAGCTTACTTTTGAGAGTAGCTTGGGTTCTAGGTCAAGCCTTAGTGGGGTTCAGATCAGAATCCTGGCTTACTGGAATACCAGTGCCTCCTGGGAGAGAAGTTATGTGCATGCTCAGTCGTGTCCAATCCCTCGCGACCCCATGGACTGTAGCCCAGGCTCCTCTGTCCGTGGGATTCTCCAGGCAAGAATACTGGAGTGGGTCGCCATTTCCTCCTCCAGTAACAAACTTGGCTGGTCAGCAAATTCTTGTCTTCAGATGAGGCCATGTATGTGCACGGTGGTTCCCCCATGACTCTGGCTGGACCCCAGACACTCCTCTCAAGGTCCTTGCACAAGAGGATTGTAAGTGACCTGTTTTACTAACAATCTATGATGTTTGGTGCGTGATCAGCACCCTCTGTGACAATTTCTAACAGAGGGTGGCAGGAAGGGAGGGGACATGTGTTCGCTCCACTTAGCTGCTGCACGCAGGGCAGCGCTGACCACCTGGAGATTTCGGTCGTGGCAGAGATGGTGCTGTGAAGAAGAGACAGGGAGACAGGGCAAGCGGAAGCCTGTTACGGTGCAGGTGAGTCTGTTCGAGTTGCAGTTGGTGCAGCTAGCTGTCTATCCAGTACCATCTCCTCTTTGCCGAATGAACTACCATCTTGTTCAAAGAGGCAATGAACTTGGCCCGAATGACGGATTGCTGATAAGTCCATGCCCTACTTTCCCAGGCTCCCTTGAAGTTAAGGAATGACTATGTGCCCTAGTCTGGCCAATGTGCCCTAGACGGCAATCTACTGTAGATACTTCTGAGAAAGTATACAGAATATAAGCATTGAGGGAGGGGAGAGGTAATTTGTCCTCTCTCTTCTTCTTCCTGCCTGAAATGTGATTTGATGGCTGGAGCTGCAGCAGCCATTTATTTACAATCTCCATTAGGTATTCCAGGCAAAATAAAAGAAAACGAACACTCTCCTATTTGTTTATGCCACAAAGGTCAGGTTTTCTGTTCCTTGGGGGCACCAAACATTCCAAACTTGATAAGTGAACACAGGAAAAGAGGACCTGCTTCAGAGTCCAAAGGATGCTGGACTTGACAGGAAAGCAGATTCTACAGAGAGCTCTGTTGTTCTGTATAGTAGCTTGGTTATAGCATGGTACTTAGGTAAAGAATTCTGAAGCAAGAAAGATTAAGAGGCATGGTTATTGGAAAGGAAACAACAAATATGGGATCATTTGCAGACACTGTAATTGTGTATGTGAAAAATTCTAAAGGATTTACACACAAATGATTAAATAAATAAATGAATTTAGCAAGATCTCTGGATATACAGTCAATGTATAAAAATAATTTTATGTCTAAACACTAGCCACAAACAAATGAAAAAAGAAATTTAAAGAATGTCTTTATAATAGCATAAAAGACATCAAATACCTAGAAATAAATTGAATGAAGCATGTGTAATACCTTAAACTCTATAAACATTATTGAGGGGAAAAAAAATCTTAAAAAAAGAAAGGATGTTTCATTGGAAAGACTCATTATTGTGAAGATGACAATTCTTACCACATTTGTTTGTAATTTTAATGAAGCCCAGGGAGGACAAAAAGAAAGCCTAACGAGTATTTTGGTAATTATTGACAAGCTTGGCAAAGAGCTAAAAATAGCCAAAGCAATTGTGAAGAAGAATAAAGCTGTCTTCAGTATCATAGCTTTTTGTTACATTCAGATGCACATGCGTGCTAAGTCCCTTCAGCTGTGTCCGACTCTTTGTGACCCCATGGACTGTGGCTCACCAGGCTCCTCTGTCCATGGGATTCTGCAGGCAAGAATACTGCAGTGGGTTGCCATGCCCTCCTCCAGGGGATCTTCCCGACCCAGGGATCGAACCCCCGTCTCTTAGGTCTCCAGCACTGGCGGGCAGGTTCTTTACCACTTGTGCCACCTGGGAAGCATCAGATGTAAAAAAACGACAAAAGATGATGTAATTAGGACTCGAGGACAGACAGGCTGACAGAAGGAGAGAGGGGCAAGTACCTGAGTGAATCTTACAGTTGTGAAGAACGAAAGAAGATAAACATGAAAGGTTACATATCGTGAACTTAGTTGGAAACGGGCAAAGTGATTCATGGTATTAAATCAGGATAGTAGTTACCTAGGCGGCGGGAAGTGGGTGGGGCTGAGCAGGAAGGCACTTCTGGGGTCTGATCGTATTGTTTCTTGATCCATGTCTGTTATTCTTCTATACGATGTTCACCAGTTAAAATATTAGAGTGTGGCCTCTGGATTCAGATTGGTCAACCTGTTATTATCTGTGTCCTTGGAGAAGTTACCTTGGGTCAGTGTCTCGGTTTCTTCACATGTAAATTAGAATGAAGAAAGGCAAATGAGTTAATATCTATAAAACTCTTAACACTATCTCTGGCAAATAGTAAGACTGGCTATTACTGGGACTCCCCTCATGGTCCAATGGCTAAGACTCCATGCTCCCAGTGCAAGGGGGCCCAGGTTCGATCCCTACTCAAGAAACTAGATCCCACATGCCACAATGAATACCTCGTGCAGCTAAAGAAATATTTTTTCAAAAAGATTGGCCACTATTATCTCAAATGAGACTGGAACTCCAGATTTGTGATAGCTAGGGGAAGAACTGGTAAAGGATTAGTGTTTGGTCTTCCCTGGTAGCTCAGATGGTAAAGAATCCACCCTGGTAAAGAGACCAGGGTTCGATCCCTGGGTTGGAAAGTTTCCCTGAAGAAGGGAATGGCTACCCACCCCGTTATTCTTGCTTAGAGAATTCCATGAACAGAGGAGCCTGGTGGGCTACAGTCCATGGGGTCACAAAGAGTCAGACAGGACTGAGAGACTAACACTTTCACTTTGTAGCCAAAATGATAAAAAAAATCAAGATGGTCCCTTGGACTATTTGCTTGCCTACTTGCTAGCTAAAGTGTTTCCAAGTCAAGATGAATCTGAGGCAACAAAGAGCTGGAAATCCACGGTGGAGTCCAGTTATTCCCTAGCTTGTTAGCGATCTCTGAACTTTGAAGGAAGAGGTTTGCTCATTAGTGTGCAAGTTTAAGGGAAAAAAAAAAAGAATTCAATGTCTTTGCTCATTAATTTATCAGTCAGCTGAAAGCCTACGATTGAAGACTGCTCCCAGCATTTTGCTTACAGTTGTCCCAAGACATTCCCGGTTGTCAGCTGCCAAAGGGCAGACTCGGGGTTCCTGACAATTCTGGGTCTTTGCTGGTAGATAGGCTGGCAAGCCCTCACCTTGTCTTTCTCCTGGCCATCTGCCTATAAGCCTCATCGCTCATTATAGAAGAAAAGCTTTTGTCCTCCCATGAAAGGGTTTTCAGGCTTCAGCAATCAGAAGGGGAGGTAGTCAGTCCTGTATCCTGGGAGTCACCTTGGTGGAGCGCATAGAACCATGGTGTGCCCTGCGGGGAAGAACACAAAATAAGAACTAGTAATGGTCCTGCTCTTTAGAACAAAAACCTGCCAGCTGGTTCAAAATGTCACCTGATATATATACATATATATATTTTTTAATGATAGGAAATTAAATGACCACACCCGCCGTTGTTTCTGCATGAAACCTGTAGAACAGAGGACTTGTCTTTCCAGATGCCTGGGGCAAATTAAAACAGCAGAAAGCTCTGATGAAAGACTGAAGGCAGGGGCTCCGCACAACCTCACTCTCTCTGTTACTTGCGCCCTTCAAAGCCGAGTATTTTCATCCATTTCTCCCTCTGGGGCCCCGTAGGATGGATGGCAAAGTCAGCCCCTTTCCTGGTTGGATAGCAGGCACTCAAGAGAGATGGATGAAGGTCCAAGGGGCAGCTGGGCTCCAAGTCTCCTAGGCTTAGCAGGAATGGATAATTATTACGCTGCAGAGTCGGGGAAAGAATATTTCCTTCTTTGTTTAAAGGCCAAAGTAGGCAGTGATCTATGAGGCCCGGCTTCACAGAGAAGGAAGATACAAAGTGGATAAGAGCAAGGGTGGGGTTTAAACCTTGAAACACAGCTCTGTCACTTACTAGCTGTGTGACCTTGGGGCTTGTGAACGTGAATCTCCTCACCTATTCAGAGGGTCCCAGAGTACCTATTTCACAGGGTGCTGGTGAGGATTAAACGAGAAAACGCGTGGAGAGCACCTAGCCTGGAGTCTGGCGCCT